AAGACCCAACTATACTGTATTGGACCTATACTCAAAGGATGACCAGCTATGTTCTTGGCTGCTTTATTGTAATATCCAGAACCTGGAAACAACCCAGATGCCCTCAACTGAAGACCATTCAGTTGAGGTGGTACATTTACACAACGGCATATTACTCAGCAGAAAAAAGCAACGACATCAGGAAATATGAAGGCAAATGGATAGAACTACAAAAAAATCATCTTGAGTGAGATAACCCAAACACAGAAAGACAGACATGGTATGTGCTCCCTCATAAGTGGATATTAGCTAAAAAGTAAAGGATAACCATGCTAAATTCATAGACCAGAGAGGCTAGGTAATAAGGAGGGTCTAAAGAGAGAAACATGGATTTCCATGTGAAGAGGAAATAGAAGAGATCTCCTGGGTAAATTTTGGGTGGGTGGGAATGGGAACATGAAGGATAGAGATGTTTTGATGGGGCGAATTTTGGAGTTAGCTAGAAATCTGGTACAAGGGAAATTCCAGGAATCTACAAAGATGACCCCAGCTAAGTCTCCTAGCAACAATGGATATGTAGCCTGAACTGTAATCAGATTGATGACTACCCTAATTGTCATCAGAGAGCCTTTACCTAGTAATTGATGGAAGCAGATGCAGAGTTTCACAGCCAGGCACTGGCCTGAGATCTGGGAATGCTGTTGAAGGGAGGGACCAAGGAGTGTATAAGCCAAGGGGTCAAGGTCATCACAAGGGAACCCATGCAGAGACAACTAACTTGTCCTTATCGGAGCTCACAGACCCTGGACCAACAGCTAAGGATCCCTTATGGGACCGATCTAGGTTCTCTACATATGTGTGACAGTTTTATAGCATATATAGATTGGTATACTTGTACAACTCCTAGCAGTGCAAATGAGGCCTGTCCTTAATGCTTTGGTAGTCTTTTGGGACCCTGTTCCTCATACTGGGTTGCCTTACCAAGCCTTAATATGGGTGAAATAGCTCAGTCTTACCTCGACTTGATATGCCATGCTTTATTGACACCCATGGGATGTCTGCTCCTTTCTGAACAGAAACAGAAGGAGTGGATGGTGGTGATGGGGAACCTTACCTTTAAGTTCATGTGCCATATTTGACTGCTTGCTGTGTTATACTTTCTTGTGTTTTTTGTTTGTTTGTTTGCTTTTAAATCAGTGTTGAGGTTTAGTAAGGAAGACCCCTGCTAATTTTGTTATTGTTTGTATAATACTACCTTCTTATTCTTTTTTTTTTGTTTGTTTTTTTGGTTTTTCAAAACAGGGTTTCTCTGTATTGTTTTGGAGGCTGTCTTGGAACTTGCTTTGTAGACCAGGCTGGCCTCAAACTCATAGAGATCTGCCTGTCTCTGCCTCCCGACTGCTGGGATTAAAGGCGTGCGCCACCAATGCCCGGCAATACTATCTTCTTAATTACAGGGCAAGGCCCATGTTTTGTTTATCACTGTTTGCTCATTTTATAGCTATTTTCTGTTCATTTTGTTTCTGAAGGGTTTATATCAAGGATTACAATTCAGAATAAAACTATGCTTATTTTTTAAATGTATGTATGTTCATGAAAGTACTCGGCAGGTGCTTTAGTGGTCCATCCTGCCAATGGTTCAAAGTATGTAAAATCAGGTAGCACTGGCAGTTGTCATTTTCTTGCAGACCCCTTGTTCTTTCTGCTTAGTTCCTATTTTCTTGTTGCCAATAAGTGTTTAAACAAAATAAAGCATGGCAATGTAAACAAAGGCTTTCCCTGAAGAATAGTTTTAGCTATGGGGAGAGAATTCAGCCAATGATATGTAGAGAGTAGAGTTAAGGCTTTGTGAGGAGACAGTTATGTAGCTTCTTTTCTAATAAAAGAGGCAGAGGATATTAAAACTGAAATACAGTTCTTAGATTATATGCTATAAGCTTATTAGTTAGCACATAGGCTGAAGTTGTGTGTGAAGAACAGAATATTCTTTCTTGGGATCTCAGCTGTAGCTCTGGCTACTGAACATAGTCTGCTAGCCAGTGTGTGGAGGGCTGATTTGTTCAGGAAGTAGCCAGTCAAAAGAAGGATGCCATTCATAGATGGAATAGAGTCCTCAAGGATCCCTTGTGTGCTGGGACATAGTTCCTTATTTGTTGTATTGTGGGGGTGTTCTCAGCAGTGGTCTAGGAAGCGGAGAGGGCAAATGAAAGGGAGTGGGTGGAGGTAAGTCACCAACCACAAGGAAAATACTTGAGTGCTTCAATAACAGGTGTACATAAGCTTGAGACCAGGTTTATAGTACTAGACATAAATTCCCTCCTGTGGATTAGACCCTCAATCAGAAAGTGGCTGGATTCCCCCTCAGACTTGCCACTATTATACCAGTGGGTACATTTTGCCCAACTTGTTAGTATAGCCCATAGGGTCTATAACTGAATACTATAGATGACAGTTTAACTTCAGCAGCCAATCTGCACTTTTCTAGCACTATGGAAGCTAATCAACAGGAGGAAGCTAACAACTTAGTTCCAGGTTGGTTCTCTATGTCCTGCTAACAGAGTACATGGTGTCTATAGCAATAGGGTTTTACCATCTGGTGGGCAAACAGCAATAGTGGCAGTTGCCTGTATTATTTTAGTGAACTTGAATCTCCTGAACCAACAGCTTGTAGTAGAGGGAGAACCCACCTGTGGCACTGAAATTTTATTTAATAACTTGTGTTTTTGGTAGCAGCTTTGTACATCCACAAAGAGTATCTTGTTCAGATTCTATTGTTTTTTAATTAGTTTACTGAATATTAGGCTTCATTATGGTTTTTCATATATTCATGTAGTTTTGAATACTCTCCCTCCACCCCTTTTCCATTTTCTTACCCACTCCTCCTCTCTTAAACTTTTCTATTCCTAGAATTCCCCTCCACTTTCATATCACATGTTCTAGTACTTACTGTCACCATTAAGGCTTCATTTTTGTTTGTTTGTTTTTAAGACAGGGTTTCTCTATCACTGCCCTGGGTGTCCTGGAACTCACTTTGTAGATTAGGCTGGCCTCAAACTCACAGAAATCTGCCTGCCTTTGTCTCCCATGAGCCACCATGCCTAGCTAAAGTCTCTTTTTATTCCCCTCTCACAGACTGCTTTCTAGTTTTCTGGCATTGCCACATTGATTTTTATTATTGTTGATATATGTTAAGTATCTGAAAAATTTCTTAAACTCTAAATATATTATTGCTAGATTTTATAAATACAATGGAGACAAATAGCCATTTAAATTTTCTGCATAATTATTTGTGAGTAATGTTTTATACCTTGGGAAAGTATAATTTTGAAATTTTGATGAAATTAATTGATGTATGATCATGACAATTTAAAGTTTGGATCTTAGGTGCTGTGCTTATCTTTTTCCTATGGTAACCCTTCTGGTTGTGTTTGTCTGAGCCATAGAACATTTCCTTTATTGTGCTACTTACTGAGGTAATAACTGACCAGTTTTTAGTAAACTTCTCCTTAGACAAGATACTGCATATAAGATGTTATATATAGTGCTACAAATAGGCAGACCTTTTGAAACTTTCATTGTCGGTTCTTCGTTAGACTTAAATACTTAGTTTGGAAAGTGCTTGAAATTCTTTAATGTACAGTGTTTGTAAATGTGTGTTTTATGTAAAAGCCAGTTTTATTGCATTTTAATATATAATTGAATGTCATTAGGTCCAGTGTCTGTAGTGATGACTCCTACAATTCTTTAGTTTGGCATTAAAAGACTCCACGGTGAGAGAGTATCATGACACTGTGTGTCAGGGAAAGCTGCAACAGTGTTCAGAGCCTAGACATCAGTGCTGCAGTGAGGTAGGAGCCTGCTTGAGGGGGAACTGAAGTTGCCATTTGGGCCACCACAATCTTGTTCTTCAGGCTCCACAATTCATCCTTTGGTTCTGCATGGATATGGGTTGGACTTGTGTGGCAATGACTGCAAAAGATCTGTTAACCGGTGCTAAAAGGCTTGGTTTCTTTTCAGCACAATTTTTTTTTGTAGTCATGGCAAGGGACTTCCCAAAGGAGCTTTTCTGGAGAAGGGGAAAGGGTTGGAAGCAGACCTTTGGGTTGGCCAGTCCTTGCAATTGCTCTTTCCTGGTCATTATGTAGTCCATGTGCAGGCCCAGCTCATCCTTGAAAAATGTTTCCCCTCATTCAACAGGAAAAGAAGATGCCAAATGCCAGACACACAGAGTAACTGTTCAGGTGATCCTGAACGAGGAAGTCATCTGTCAGTTCAGCTGCCCTCAGAAATTCCAGTGCTAGAACCAGTGCACCCTCGAGGGGCATATAGCAATGTGTTTGGATGGATTCATAAAGCATTACAGCGGAAGAGGGTTGTTTCACAATAGACTGCCCCACAGTGGTGAATCATTATTTTTAATATCTTCTGTGTTGTGTTCATAAAACAATACAGTTTGAAGGTGTGTCTCCATCCTGCAATTTGTGAAGCATTTGGTAAGAAGGGTTAGCAAAGCTTGTCTCTCTGAGTATTCCAGATGCTGCCAAGATCTAGCTGAAAGTACTGGCATTGCTCGTGGTTATCATCATTTCTTTTATAAATAATTAGCTATCCCCTCCCATAATTCATGAGTACTTCTTAGTCTGTCTTCACCCTGCTTTAAGTAGCCCTATTCTGGAAATTGAAAAATTGGTGGGAAAGTTTTACATGGCTTACTTAGCTACTAAAGGTTTTTTATATTGTACTAAATAATACCTGATCAAGGAAGACATCTTAAGGCAGTCCAGCATTGAAGGGTCAGGGCAGGGACTCAAGGCTGGAAACTGGAGGCAGAGCCATGGAGGAACTGCTTGATGGCGTGTTCTGTATATGCGCTTTTGGTAGTCCTTTGACGGATGGGGAGAGGGAGAAAGGGAACAGAGATATCTGTTTTTCTTTTTTAATGGAAACCATTGGGGAAATACCAGATGATATGTAAAAGTTCCCTTTAGATAGCATTCTAAATACATAAACTTTTTATGCAGGTTTTGCCCGGATCATCTCGTCAGAGTTACTCACCTTCTGGCCTTCAGGATTTCAGTAAGTGGGAATCAGTGTTGAAAATAAAGGAAGGACTTCTAAGGCAGAAGGAAATTGTAATTGATAGGTAAGTCTGTTTTTTAATTACTATTTCAGACAGTAAAAATGTAGACTAATGAAACAATTACTATCACATCCACTACTTAGAATTTGAAATTAACAAACACATTAATGTCTCATGTCTGCCCTCTCTAGTCCCATGGCATGCAGGAGGTGTCAGCACTAAGGGTAGGTGTGTCTGTCTGGTCTCTGACATGCTCTATATTTGCTTTAGTGAGATTCATTCTTTGGAAGATATTCTCTACCTTTCTCTATATGCTGCATCTGTCAGAGCTGCAAGATGATATCTTTTTATTTGCCTTATGATACTGCCAGATTTAGACAACCACATTAAAGTTATGAGCTCTTTTGACTAGCATATATTAGATTTGAGACCACATAAATATGAAAAGGATATATTTTTAAATTTATATAGTCTAGAGTAAGAATTATGGGTTTCTTTTCAGCATTTAAAAACTTTTAATATTTTAGTACCAGAGTAATCAAGAATTTATTTAGACTTACTAGAAAGTTTTGAGCAACAATTGTAAGGTTATTGTGTTATGCTATCTTTAAAATATATGGATGTACATCATTTATATATACTTCTGGTATTGTCAAGGGTGTTCATATTAAGATACTTTAGAAATTTTTGGAGGAAGATTTTTTTTTCTGAAGCCAGTGTTAACTGTTGCTTATTTTTGTGTGCAGTGATAGGATAAACAAAGGAAGTAAAAAGATAGCTGAAAAGAGCTTGAAAAAATGGGGTGAAGTAGAAAAGAAACCTTAACATCATCAGCTGCCCAGTTTCTTAGCAAGTAGGGAGGAGAAGCAGTGGCTACTAGTGGAGTTGAAATAGGGATTGAGCTTTCAAGGGTAGGCTACCCAGGGCTAGAGCTCAGTTCAGTAGTAGAATGTTTGTTTTATGAGCACAAGTCCCTCCTTTCAGTATCCAATATCATAAAGAGGGGAAAGAATGCTAGTATTTCCTAAATGGTCAAAGTTTAAGGGTACTGGGACCATGGCTCAGTTGGTAGAGTGCTTGTCAGGAATACACAGTACCCTAGGACCATTTAAAACTGGAAGTGGTTAGAATGCCTGTATCCCTTGGACCTAGAAGGTAGAAGCAAGAAAGCAGGAAAAGCATGAGTTCAAGGCTATCTGTGGATAAATAGCGGGTTGGAGGCCAGCTTGGGCACCATGGGGGAAGGGAGAGGAGAGAAAGGGAGGAGAGAAGAGAGAGAGCAGAATTGAAAATAGTAGACTGCTCAGTAAGAACAAACCAGAAGAGATATCCTAACCAACAACACACAAATTACAACACAGAATCTACCAGAAGCATGGGTGGGGTTGGGTGCAAAGCAATATGACTCCTTCAAAAGATCATAATTCTGCAACTATAGAACTCAAATATATTGAAATGAGTGAAATTCCTGATGAAGATTTCTAAGGTTTCCTGTAGAGAATAGTCAAGGATATGAAAGAGAATATAAAGAGCTGGAATTCTCAGAAGGTAAGCAACACAGAGCAAGAAGTCATCAAAGTGGAGGGAAATCAACAGTATGGATGAAAATTCAGCAGGGTAGAGAACAATTTGAAGTTTTGAAAAAAAATTGTTGGACATGAAAACCTCAGCCAAATAGAAAACAGTATGAATAGTCTTGGCCATGTGGAAGAAAGATCTTCAAAAATGGAGGGCGAAGTTGATAAAATATGACAGTCATACAACAGTAAAGAAAAACATGAGCACAGTGTTCTCAGAACTCTGGGATATGATGAGCAGACCAAACCTAAGGACCCATGGGATAGAACAAGGTGATGAGATAAACACTAAAGACATACTGAATCTAGTCAATGAAATTATAGCAGAAAATTTCCCAAGCCTTTAAAATGAAATAGATGTTCAAATACTAGCCATTTTAGAACAACTTAAATTAACCTGTAACCATCAGAGAGATTGAAGTAATAATGTTTCATAAAAGGGCAGTTGACATTATTATTATTACTTTAGCTAAGGCATTAAAAATACATATACATACATACATTATATATACATATATATGATAATAAGATACAAATAGGAAAGGAAGAGGTCATCTCTTTTTATAGGTGACAAGATTTTATTTAGTGTGGGGTACGATCCTATACTTCAAAGACCATAAATAGTCCACGTAAAAATCTTAGCTCTGACAAACACTTTCATCAAAGTAGCAGAAACAAAATCAATACTTTAAAATTAGTAGTGTTTTTATGCACCAATAAATAAATATGCCAAGAAGTGAAAATCCCATTCACAGTAGCATTAATAAAAATAAAATACCTAGGAGTAAACCTAACCAAAGAAGTGGAAAACTTCTACTATGAAAACTTTAAGGCACCGAGGAAATTGGAGAAGACACTTAGAAGATAAAAACCTACCTTTCTCATGGATTAGCTGAATAAATTTTGCAGAAATGGCTAAATTACCAGGAGCAATCTACAAAGTTATGGAAATTACCATCAAAATTCCAATGATTTTCTTACAAAGAATTAGAAAAAAAAATCCAAAATTCCATTGTGGGGCTGGGAATATAATTCACTTGGTAGAGTGCTTGCCTAGCATACACAAAGTTCCAAATTCAGTTCCCATAACCGTATAAACTCAATGTGGTATGTGTACCTGTAGTCCTAGTATTCTGGACATGGGGGCAGGAGGGTAAGAAGTTCAAGGTTCCATGTAGTGTGAATCTTTTTTGTTGAGGTTAGAGAAGTACATTATTCTATTGATAAAAGGGTAAGTATTAAAAAGGCAGCTTAATATTATGTCCATTTAGCAAAATAAAAGTAAGTTCTCCTCTGGGGACTATGATCTATGTAGTCACGTTTGTCTTCACCCAATTTGCAATTCCAGGTATGAGTTCTGTCCTCTCCACTCATTAAGGCTTAGAGATCATTATGGAAGATGGGGTAGAAAGATAAAAAAGATCTAGATGTTTCTGTAAAACTGTAACATCATAGGACTGTTTCACACAAGTATTCACAGTACCTGTAGTTGCCTGTACAAGACCTGCTCAAGATGAAGTCAGTCAAATTCCAGCATGGGTGGGGGGAATCATAAAGCCCTACCCCTAGCAGAGGGCTGTTGACAGTTGATGTCAGTTTTCTTCAGGGATGTTCCTGGTATAGGGTCTGGTATTCATGCATATAAGGGAAGCATTGATTGGACTCAGTTATTTTTCAAAAAGGCTACGTGAAGTAGAGATGGAGACATTGTGGGAGGGATCTAGGAGGAATTAGAGGGAAGAGCGTGGGGAAGGGGTGGATATAACCAAAATGCACTGTGTACATGTATGAAATTCTGAAAGAATAAATAACAAGTACACACAAAAGTTTGAGATCTCCCATGGGCTATCTAGTGAGTTTAAAACCCACCTGGAATACCTAAAACTGTCTTTTAGCAAGATGACAAGACAAAACCTTTATAAAATACACTTAGAAGAACCAAATCCCTTAAGAACAATGATGGAGATTTTAAATTATTACAGAAACACAGTAACAAAGCAACATGGTATTACCACAAAAATAGACATGTAGACCCAGAAGCAATTTCCACAGCTACAACTATAGTGATGCTAAAAACACACACTGGAGAAAAGACAGTCTCATTAAGAAATGGTACTGTTATACTGCTGTTTCCCAGAGTGATAGAGATCCTGCAGCTGTGGTTTCGAAGGATCAGTTCCTTAAAACACTCCAGCAGATCATAGATCGGTAGATGTTGGGAAGTGCCAATTCCAAGTCTTAGATGTGTGCCTGGGTGGCAGCTGAGATGGTCAGTCTAGGTCACTGAGACTGGCTTTTCTCAGGTGAGGGGTTGAGCCAGCTCCCCCAGGTCCACAAAGAGGGGTGGGGTGAGTTTTCCCTAGTATGGGGAGCCAGCTCTCCTACTAGGGGCAGGGCCAGAGTATTGGTGGGGCCTAATTTTGATGGTGTATTAAAACTAGAGGCCTTGAATCTGACCAACAACCCATTACACAGTGAACATTTGCATGGAATGCTTTTTTGGACAAAAGGGTATATACATCCCAGTGCCACTAGGATGAATGAAGTGGTGGTGGGGAGGCAAGAAAGATGGAGGAGCGTTTTCATTTTCTTCACTATATGTTTTTATTTAAATTAGAAACATGCATACTTCACGTGTCAATCCCAGCTCCCTCTCCCACCCCTCTCTTGTCCCTCCACCAGCCCTGTCCCCCAGTCCTCGTGGCCCAATCCCCACATCATTCCCCAGGGAAGGTGAGGCCCTCCTTGTGGCGGGGGGGCGGGGCGGACCTCCAGAGTCTGTCATTTCATCCAGGGCAGGACCTAGGCCCTTCCCCATGTGTCCAGGCTGAGAGAGCATCCCTCCATGTGGAATGGGCTCCCAAAGTTCATTCGTACACCATGGTAAACGCTGATCTACTACCCAAGGTCCCAGAGATTTCTGAGGCCTCCTCACTGACACCAAATTCATGGAGTCTGGATCAGTTCCCTGTTGGCCTCTTAACCAATCAGTCTGGGGTTCAAGAGCTCCTCCTTGTCCGGTCAGCTGTCTTTGTGGGTTTCACCAGCCTGGTCTTGAAACCCCTTTGCTCATCACTCCTCCATCTGTCACTGGGTTCCAGAGATTCAGTTCAGTGTTTAGCTGTGGGTATCTGTCTCTGCTTCAGTCAGTCAGTGGATGAAGGTTCTAGGATGACATATAAGGTAGTCATCAACCCTATCATCAGGGAGGGGCTGTTAATGTAGTCTCTCCACTATTGCTTAGTTTGCCAGTTGGTGTTATCCTTGTAGATCCTTGGAAATCTCATTAGTACCAGGTCTCTCCTCAAAGCTATAATGACTCCATCTATTATGGTATCTCTCATCCTGCTTTCCTCTATTCTTACCACGATTCAACCTTCCTGCTTCCCTATGTCTTCTTCCCCTCTCCTCTTATCCCCCTCTCCTTTTCCTGGCTCCCTTTCCCCTCCCCCCATGTTTCCAATCTGCTCAGGAGATCTTGCCTCATTCCACTTCTCTGGGGTATCATGCATCTCTCTTGGGAACCTCCCTGTTTACCAGACTCACTGGCACTGGGATTGTAGGCTGACACTCCCCTGATCCATGTTTCATTTTTTAAAAAAAATTGTTTATTTTAATCTCATTTTTAGTCTTTTAGCTTTCTTTATTGGGGGCACTATAAGAGTGAGGGGTGGATACAGCGGGACTGGGAGATGAGTGGGATTGCATGACGGGAAATTCCCAAAGAATCAATAAGGAAAAAAGATAAGTCTCATATATCAGTCTTACAAGGTAAAAAGGCCTGGAGATAGATAGATGGTAATGGTGACCACACAGTAATGTGGATGTCCTTAAGGCCACTGGATGTCCACTTGAAAAAATTAAAATGATACGTTTTTTGAGATGTATATTTTGCCTCATTTAAAATTTTTATATAAAATAAATTTATATAAATACTTAAACTCCCCGCCCCTCAAAAAAGAAATGGTACTGGGAAAACTGTACTGGGAAATCTCTTGCATGTAGAAGAATAAAATTAGATATCTCACCCTGTAAAACTTAACAATTCAAGGAAGATTCACTACCTTAATACAAACCTGAAAGTTTGCGACTGCTAGAGGAAGACTAGAGTATGGGCATAAGCAAAAATGTGCTCATAAGAAGAGGTAATGCCACGTTGTGGAGCTTGTATAAGATAACTGTGACGTTACTGTGAACTATGGATGGGGCAGACTGTTGATGTTCTTCCCACCAAGTGTCCTATGAAGAACTGATACTCTGTGTGCCTTAGGGTCTCTATTGCTGTGACATAACAGCATGACCAAAGCAATTTGGAGATGAAAGGATTTGTTTGACTTACACTCCATGGCACTGTTCATCATCAAAGCCAGGACAGGAACCTGGAGGCAGGAGCTGATGTAGAGGCCAGGGAGGTGACTTGCTCTCTGTGGCTTGCTCAACCTGATTTCTTATAGAACCCAGGACCACCAGTCCAGGGGTGGAAACTCCTGGCCTGGGTCCTCCCCCATGAATTACTAATTAAGGAAGTGCTTACAGGCCTGCCTACAATCCAGTGTTGTGGAGGCATTTTCTTAGTTGAGGTTCCCTCCTCTCAGATGACTTCAGCTTGTGTCAAGGTAACATAAAACTGTGCAGCACATTGTGGTAAGTGGAAACACTTGAAAGCAAAGCCATGAAGGGAATGCCCTGGCATGACCACATTACCACAGAGGGAAAGGCAAAGGCCTGGAAGGAATATTCTTGGCTCTTTCACATGACCAGAGATGTACTCATAATCTATTAACACTAGTATATTCCCTTCTGCCTTTGCATTTGATGAAACTAGCTGTAAACATTACCTTGTGTATTACTTGCTTTAGTAATAAAAAGGAGAAGTACTCTGGGATCTGTGGAGACTTAGCCACTGCCTGGGGTGTGTTGACAATTGACAAATAAATAAAAAAAATCAGCACAGCAATAGACAACCCACAGAATGAAAAAATCATTACCAACTTTATCTTATACAGAGGATTAATATCTTGAATTTTATAAAGTATTATAAAACTTAACATCACAAAACTAAGTCATCTCATTAGAAAATGGCCTAATTAACTGAATAGAGTATTTCCTGAAAGAAAAATACAAATAGCCAATAAATACTTAAAAAATTTGGAAAATGAATATTCAAGGTGCTTTCCTATTTCATCTCTCTATAGTCAGGATGCCTGTTTTCAAGAAACTATGTGGCAACAAATATGGAGAGGTCAATCCTCACTGGTATAGGGAATATGGGAACAGATGAGTCCTTATTCACACCTGGTAGGAAGGGAAACAGGTACAGCCACTGTATGGATCCATAGAGATTCCTTAAAGAACTGAAAATAGAAATCCATGGGATTTAACCATACTCTTAAGTCAACATTACTACAGAGATATTTTTCCATTCATGTTTATTACTGTACTATCACACTAACCCAGACATGGAACCAGCCAAGAATGTCTAAAAGATGAATAGATAAAAAGATAGGTGATGATACATACATTGGAATTTTATGCAGCCACAAGGAAAAGTGAAATCATGGCATATTCAGAAAAATTGATAGAATCTCTTTGTGTGGAATCTGAATTTAAAATTTGTGTGTGTGTGTGTGTGTGTGTGTGTGTGTGTGTGTGTGTAGCTTATGAAATGGGAATTGGATCATGAGAGGGAAAGAAGAGATCCTAAGTGAGGGAGGAAATAGAATAATGGAATACATGTGATAAGAAAACTTAAGCATGGAAGGTAAGAAACCAGACATCGGGTCAGAAGACCTGGGGGAGGGATGCGGGGGGAGAGAACAGATGCAAGCAAACTGTGGCACATGTGTGACGATGCTGTAGTGAAACTTACAACTGTTATGCCAACCAAAGAGGAACAAATGAATAGCAAAATTGGTGTTAATGGCAACTTAGGATACATTCTTTGGCTTTGTGGTGGACACTGTAGTAAAGGAGTAGTGGTTATTTTGCATCACAGTTGTCAGTTAAATTTGAACATCTAAATACAGTTTTGATGTTTACTTTTTTCTTTTATCATTTTTTATTTTAATTTTAAATAGCTTGTTTTACATGTCAATCCCAGTTCCCTCTCCCTCCCCTCCTCCCGCACTCCCCTTCCCCCCCAGCCTCCCACCCTATTGCCAATTCCTTCCACATAGGGGATATCTAGAGTCTGTCATTTCACTCTGGGTAGGGTCCAGGCACTCCCCTAAGAGACCAGGCTGAGAGAGCATCCCTCTTTGTGCTATGGGCACACGATGACTGTTTGTATTCCAGGGATAGGCACTGATCCACAGCTCAGGGCCCCATAGGTTGCCCAGGCCTTCTCGCCGACACTCACATTTGGGGGGGTCCAGATCAGTCCCATGCTGGCCTCCCCGCTGTCGGTCTGGGGTCCAAGAGCTCTCCCCTGTTCAGATCAGCTGTCTCTGCTGGTTTTGGCAGCCCATTCTTTGCCAATTTGCTCATCACTCCTCTCTCTCTGTCACTGGGTTCCTTGGGTTCAGTTCAGTGCTTAATTGTGTGTTTGTCTCTGCTTCCATCAGTCACAGGATGAAGGCTCCCGGATGGTTATAGACATCAAGTTCATTATCAGGAATGGGCATTCGAGGTGGTCTCTCCACTATTGCTTAGCTTGCCAATTGGTGTTATCCCTTTAGATCACTCGAGGTTGCTCTGGTGCCTGATCTGTCTTCTAACCTATGATTCCCTCTTCCCCCTATTCTACCCCCACCCCCTCAACTTCCTGTTCCCCCATGACCTACTCTCTCTTCCTCTTCTCCCCCTCTCTTCTTCCCAGCTCCCACTCCCCCCACCCCTTGATGTTTACTTTTTATTGTAGTTTATATTTATGTACATAGCATATTGAATCCATTATAGATTATTTTTAAGTATATTTTTCTAATCTCAACTGGTCAGTTCCACAGGTCAATTCTAACATTGTTGAGCTAGCATTAGATTCCACAGGATCAAAGACATGGTCCCCAGAAACCCTTTCTTTGCTTCAGATGCCAGTCACAGACATGAGACCTCAGGCAATTATCAAAACCATGTTAACAGAAAAAATAATTTATGGTAGCTTGAAATTCAGTGCAGGAAAAGAATTAGAATATCTAAAAATTTAGTTGCTGAGAAATTTTTAAAAAAGAAACAGTGTGTATTTGTTAATTTTTTGAAAGGGTATCTTTGTTAAATTTTCTCAGAAGAATAGTTTCCACTGAGGAGTTTTGAATCTGTAATTCAGGAATTGATACGTAGACTTCTATTTATTTACACACATATACTATACATATTATTATTGTGTTGTGGGTAACGTCTTCCAGTCTTATTTTTTCCTCTTTTGTGTATGTGTATGTCCTTTTGTGTGTATGTGTCTGTTTGAATGCATATTTACTTATATGTGTAGGGGCATATGTATATGCAGTATGTTTAAATGTATCTGTATGTGTGTGTAGGCCTGAAATTGAACTTAGGTGTCTTCCTAGCCCCTTCTCCACTTTATTTATAGAGGCAGGATGGCTAACTGAACTAAGGGCTACCCAATTCCAGGTAGACTAGCTAGCCAGCTTGCCCTGGGGATCATATCTTCCATGCCTGCCTGATGTGTACATGAGTTCTGGGGATTTGACTCTGTTCTTCATGTTTGGGTGGAAAGCATATATTGAGCTATCTCCTTAGCCCCATGGGTTTTCTTTTCTTTTGCATAGGAAAAGTATTTAGTGAACTAATTTCATTTCCCCCAGTGGTTGATAAAAGATAACATTTTTATACACTTTTTAAAAAATAGTAGAATACTAAAATTTCTCTTCACTATTTCTTAGGAAAGTATATTCTTTATAGTGTGACTTCAATTTATGTTTTACAGGCAGAAGCAACAAATTAACCATCTACATGAAAGGATAAGGGATAATGAACTACGGGCACAACATGCCATGCTAGGACATTATGTAAATTGTGAAGAATCTTATATGAGCAGTTTGCAGGTAAGCCTAGAGAATTCTTTGTAGTTTGAAGTCAACTAACAAATCTCTATTTACAGTATACTTTCTTTATAACATTAGAACATGATATATCAGTGTTTTAAAATAACAGCAAATTTGCATAGTTCATATTTGTCTGTAAAAGGTTCTCAACTACTTTCTTCCATTTGTCCTTCATCCCTTTCCCACCCACCCACATACACACTTAGCTGTTCTCAGTTTCTAGGGTGTCCTTCCAGAGTTGATGCATACTGTAAATAGATAAAAATTCATTTTAGTTCCTTAATGTTTACAAGAATCCTTAAGAATATTCACATTGTTTTATACCTGTATCATTCTTATTAATATAGAATTATTGTTTCTACATCATTTTACATAAACCATTCTATTTTCATTTGCTTTTGTAGCTACATGATTTTCTATTTTATAGAAATCATAATTTATTCTACCATCTGTCTCTCATTAAAATTAAGATTGTTTGCCGTTTGGTATATTATAAATAATGTTGTGAAGAGTAGCCTTTTGTATTGATTTGCTCCTCACATATATTTATCTCTGTAAATTAAAGTTCTGAGAAATGAAATTTCTGTTATATAGATGCATATGTGTATGCTTAAATGGAGACTCTCAGTGTGACTTATTTTTCTTAAAATGATGGTCTCATTTCATCCCTTTTCCTGGAAATAACGGTTCCATTTTTCTTTAGAACTGAACAAAACTCCATCTTGTATACATACATTTCCTTTATTCATCTGCTGATTGGTACCTAGTTTCATATTTTGACTATTACAAATAGTGTAACAATAAACAGGGACATGCAAGTGTCTCTGGTATGCTTAGCTTCCTTCCTGCTTTGGGTGGTAGTGCTGGATCGTATGTCAGTACTGGTTTTAATCTTTTGAAGAACCTCCAAGCTGCTTTCATAGTAACTGCACCTGTTTTCATTCCCACCACTGTACTTAATGGATCTTCTTTCCCAGCCTTGCTGGCTTTTTAAAAAATGATAGCTATTCTGATTGGAGTGATAGAGAATTTCACTGTATTCATTTCTCCACGACTAAGGTTTTGATCATTTCTTCAAATACGTATTAGCTATTGTATTTTTTCTTTTGAAAACTGTTCATTTGCTCATTTATTGGCTAATTTGTTGTGCTTTTGTTTTTTTTTTTCATTTTGACTTTTGTTAGTTCCTTTTAGAGTCTATGTGTTACTCAACTGTAGGATGTATATTGCCAAAGACGATCTCCCATTCTGTAGATTGTCTCTTTGCTGCTGAAAAATTTATTTTGTATTTTTTCAGTTTCTGCAGTTGTTTCCTGCGATGTTGGTATCCTTCCCAAAAGCCCTTGCCTATGCCTATATCTTTGGGAGCTTTTATATTTAACATTTATCAGTGTGTGTATATGTGTCTATGTGAGTATGTGCCATGGCGTGTGTGTGTGTGGTCAGAGGACAGGTTTTTCTCATTTTGTGGTGCAGGGAAAAACAGTCAGGTCTGAAGGCATGGAAGTAAGTACCCTTTCCTGCTGAGTCTCTCTCCAGTCCCTTCTCTAAAAGTTTCAGAGTTTCAGGTCTGACATGAAGCTCTTGAATCCGTAATTTAATTTACTTAGGTTTAAATTGAGAGGCATGTGCCCAGTGTTAGTTTTCTGTAAGTAAATATCCAGTTCTTTTAGCACCATTTTGTTGAAGTCTCTTTTCTCTAATGTATGTTTTTGTTAACCTTGTCAAAAAATTGGGTGGCTGTAGCTTTGTAGGTTTATTCCTAGTTTCATCCTTTTATCTTGTATGTCTCTCTGTGTGGCAGTATCATGGTAATTTTGTTACTGTGGATCTGTAGTATAATTTGAGGTTAACTGTCATGTATCCTTTAACATTGCCCTTCTCCTTAGGACTGCTTTTGCTATTCAGGATATTTGGGGCTCTCATACCTTGTTTCAGTTTTTTCTAGGTACGAGAACGATGATAGGATTTTATTTACTTTGGTTTTTGAGACAGGATTTCACTGTGTAACAGCCCCAGCTGTCCTGAAACTCACTCTGTAGACCAGACTGGCATCAAACTCAGAGAGATCTACCTGCCTCTGCTTCCTAAGTACTGGGAATAAAGGCGCGTGCTACCATTGCACAGCAAGGATTTTTTTTTTTTAAAAATAAGGATTGGTAAGCGAGTTCTCCACCATTTGAAGCTAAGCCATGTGACTTAACGGCTATACTGCAACTACCCTGAAAATATTCTTCTTTCCTTTTTTCCTTTGTTTTTTCCCTTTGTTTCGCTTGTTTTTTGATTTTTCATTAAATTTGGTTTTGGTTTGGCTGGGAGAGGTAACAAGGGCAGAGGGCAGATGCAAGAGGACTAGGAGCTAAGTAGAATAGGAATACATGCTGTGAAGTCCACAAAAACTAAAAGTTGAAAAAGAAAAAGTAAGAATTGCATTGAGTCTGTAGATCACTTTCAGTAATTTAATCATTTCCATTATTTTAATTGTACCAGTGTGTTACCATGTGTGTGGTGGTGTCTGTCAGTGTATGTCTTAGTTAGGGTTTCTATTACTGTGTTCAGATACCATGACCAAGGCAACTACTATAAAGAACATTTAATTTGGGTTACTCAACTTAGAGTATCAGAGGGTCAGTCCATTTTCATTATGATGGGGAGCATGGCAGATGTGCCAGAGTAGTAGCTGAGAGTCCTACATCTTACAGTTATCAGGAAGTAGACTGAGATACTGGACTGTATCCTGAGCATAGGAAACCTCAAATCCTGCTCTCACATTGACACACTTCTTCCAACAGGCCGTACCCATTCCAAAAAAGCCACACATCCTAGTAGTACTACTTCCTGTGAGATTGTGGGGACCAATCACATTCAAACTGCCATAGCTAGTGCCTTCAGTTTCTTTCTTACATGTTTTAGTAGGTTGCTTTTTAAATTTCCTTGTTTGTGTCTTTGAGAATGTAGTGCAGATATACCATTGGGAATGGCTCCACATGATCTTGGTAAAGGACTGTGACCTGGGAACAAAATTGTGAATAAGCCTAGTTTGCCTATACAATCCAGTGGGAATGCAGAAATAGTGTCTCTAAAATTTTTGAGGCCACTTTTTAAAATTATTTCTTTCCATTTTAAGAATTTTTTTCTTAAACTCACTTGCATGTTTTTTGTTTATACATTATAATGGGTTTATTTATTTCCAAAAGAAAAATATTGGGTTTTTTTGTGATTAAAAAGTAAAAAATGTGGGGCTGGAGAGATGGCTCAGAGGTTAAGAGCATTGGCTGTTCTTCCAGAGAATGTGAGTTCAATTCCCAGCAACCATCTGTAATGAAATCTGGCACCCTCTTCTGGCCTGAGGGCATACAGACAGATGCTGTATACATAATAAATAAATCTAAAAAATGTTGAAAAATTTTTTAAAAGTAAGAAATGAACATTTCTTGGAGGTTTGTGCTTCTGTTTATGGAATAATTTTTGTTAATGTCTTTATTCCTAGATGTTAAAAACTCATCTGAAGTGGATTTTTTCCTTCATTGCACTCAGATGTGTTACTTGTATTAATTAATTAGACATTGGAATCATGAAATGCTAAATACTAACTAGCTGTACGACTGAATGCAAGTTAGGGGAACTTAGCATAGTGGTGTAGCTAGCCTTTTCACTTTGATTGTACTACATCATGATACTTCATTGCTGTGTACTCTACTTTGACTTCAGTTGCAAACAGCAGTTCCCTGTGGGCTAGTGCTCAGACTGGTAGTGCAGTTACGTGAAAATAGCGTTCTTGTCCTAAATAACTAGTATAATTTGTTTTGAAAACAGTAGTTTAGTAGATCCATGTAATATTTCCTTACAATTTCATTCTTAATGTTATTCTTGGATTATACAATTATTGTATTACCAAAAGCATGTTAAAAAAATATCTGAATAGTGTTTGCGGCCAGTAGATGGCTCTCTAAGTCAGTGAGTTTATCAGTGATTGCTTATGTGGTTCTTGCCTGTCCTGTGAGATTCAGAGTAGCCACTCCAGTTCAGATGGTCGGGATTGTCCTCCAGTTTTTTTTCTTTTGTTGTGTTTTGAAAATGTGTGTGTCAGAGGGGCGGGGGAGGAGGAGGAGGAGGAGGAGGAGGAGGAGAGAGAGAGAGAGAGGGAGAGAGAGAGAGAGAGAGAGGAGAGAGGAGAGAGAGAGAGGAGAGAGAGAGAGAGAGAGTGTGTGTGTGTGTGTGTGTGTGGTCCATTTGGTGATTAGTTTAGGGAATGATGGTTTCTGTTTTAGGATGGTCAAATTATGTATTCAACTTCTTTATTAATATAATAAGAGTCTCCGAATTTCTTTTGTGTGTGAGCTTTGACAGATGTTGTTCCATCTCATTGAGTTTATGAGGTTTTCTGGGACTGGAGGGTTCTATTACTGTCCTTTTTTCATTTCTGATGTTAGTGATTTTGGTCTTTTTTTGTTTTCTTCTCTTAGTCTACCTGAAGAATGACTTTTTAAAAATTGGTTTTAATAAATGCTCAACTTTTGTTGAGTTTTCTGTATCTTATTTTTAATTTGATTGATTTTTTTGCTCTAATTTTTTCTATTTACTTTGAATTTAATTTTCTGCTTTTTCTAGTTTACTGGCATTAGAGACTTACATGAATTTTAGATCTTTCCTATATAAAATAAATCCAGTGGTATAAATTTCCTCTAAGCCCAGCTTTATTTAAATCTCATAAACTTTCAGTTATCTTTTAGTTGAGACTTTTAAAGTTTCCCCTGAGAGTTCTTCTTTTAGCCATATATTATTTAGCAGTACTTTGTTTTGGAATATCCCAGGTTTTTGTATTTGTTTGGATTCTGGTTTAATTTACCTGTGGTCGGAAGGTAGGTATTTGATGTGTTTTCAACTTCTAAAATGTTATTTATGAATTATAATGTTGTTTTTCTGGTGATTGTTTCAAAGGAACTTCAAAAGTATGTGGTGTAGTTGAGGAGTGAGCAGTCTGGGGATGTCAGCTCATCTAGCTGCTTGATGGGCTGTGAGAGCAAGTGTTTCTTTCTTCATTGATGTTTTGCCTTCTGTGACAGGACAACTCTGAAGCTGTTGATAAGTCTTCAGTGACTACACTTGATGTGTATTTCTTCTTACAGCTGGTGTACTTAAACCTCAGACGTTCATAGTGATCATGGGGACAGTTGACTTAATTAATACCACATGTGTAAATATTTTCTATTATTGTTCTGAATCTTAAGGTCAGTGTCCACATATGTCTAGTTTTGTGTCAAGTTGACAAAAATCAACCACCACAGCAGAATCCACCTATTTTTAAGGAAATATCTCAAAAGTTACTACCCTACTAAAGCCCATTTATCCATTTTCACAATGTTCTTCATTTGTTCTTGTCCAGCACTTTGTACTTTCTGTGACCTTTATTTGGTTACCTCATTATATTGTTTCCTGTGCTGCTATAATTATCTAAGGGCTTCTCCTTTCATATTTAAGTTCTTAAACGCTAGTGCCAGAGTCTGCCACATTGGAATACTGCTGCATGTGACAAATATTACTCACAAATTGAATGAATGCCTAGCTTTTGGCAAAGGACTAGTGCTTTAAGACCCTGTTCAAAATCACGTCTTTCCACCTTCCCCCAGCTACTGCATATGTCACTATCTTAGCCAAGTCAGTTTTGGTTGTGGTTTTTGAACCCTTTTCCAAAGGGTCACCTTGTTTATTAGACTTACAATCTTGACCAATGGGGGTATATGTTATAAATATCTGTTGAGTAAATAGCAGATTCTCTGTTGATTGAATATTCATTTTGATTCATCTAAAGGAACATATGTATTTTTCTGTTCACACCTTCCAGATTTTAACTCAGCGAGGACCATTTTTTCCTATAGAAGAATTTCCATCAAATATTTCTAAATGGAAGAAACAATACTTTTTTCTTCCATTCTATGATTACTTTTGAGCAATTGTGTGGTACCTAGCATGATTCTAGACAAGTAAATGATCACACCCTACCATGGACAAAAAACATGACTTTATGAATCTTACTTTTAGTTATAGAACCAGTCTATTAATGCATATGAGTTTAAGTAGTTGAAATGATCACCTGTGAAGAAAATTTTCATGCATTTTTTTTGAGACAGTATCTTTACTGTGTGACTTATGCTGGTCGTCCAAATCTCATTCTTTTGTTTTCAGAGTTTTTTTTTGTGTGTGTGTTTAATTACTTCCCTAAAAGCTTCACATCTTTAGGACAAAGGTGCATAATACATTATTTGTATTTTTCAGTGTACTTTTAATGCAAATAGTAGCTGCCTTTCATTGAATTTTTGTTATGGCTAGGAGCTTGCATACTTAAACATTGTAAAATGGCTTTATTATTTCTATTTTTGGATAGTAAACCAAGACTTAGTGATGCTGATTTACTTTAATCATGGTCAATATCTAGGAAGCAGAAAAGCTAGGATTTAGTTTGAGGATAGTCTGTTTGTAAAGCTTATAGGTATTGTACTGTAACCCCTTCCCATTTCATTTTTATTTTTTCAAGACAAGTAAACTTCCGAAGACTTATCTGCTGTTATTTTTTCTCAATAGCCACAGTATGAGAACAGTCCAGTCCAGACTCCATTTTCAGAGCAGTCATTGTCCCATCCCCAACAAGAAGAACTTGAACAAAAGCTAGCATCTACTGAGAAAGAAGTTTTACAGCTCAATGAGTTTCTCAAACAAAGAATAAACCAATTTAGTGAAGAGAAGAAGAAATTGGAAGAAAAGGTGGGTATCTTGTGTAAGATTGTGGTGGATCAACAGCTTTCTTCAACAATGAATGCTTGCTTGTCATTAGTCGTGTTCCGGGTGTTATACACATACATATTATAGTAACTAATGCTATATACACCAACTTTCAAGAAACTTATGCTATCAGAAAAGGTTTAAGGACCTTTAAGTTTTAACTACACTTTTCTAACTAGTAGTGAAACTTTCGAAAGCCAGATGCCTACACCAATGACTTCGTTCATTTTCCTTATTCAAATTCCTTCTTTCTTCGTCTCATTGACCATACAGTATTGGAGAATGAAGTGAAACTATCTTCAAAAACTTACCTCAAGTTATTAATCTGGAGCCCCTACTCTGAATAAGTAGATTTCATGTCATGTATATGTGGTTTTATATGTCTATAAAAGACCTGTGATCCACAAATGAGAGAAATTAGTCAATATTTACCTTTTTAAGTCTGGCCTATTTTACTTACTTTACTTACAAATGAGATGATCTCCATTTGCATCAATTTTCTTTCAAATGACACAAGCTAATTCTTTATGGCTGAATTAATTTCATTATATATACACACATACAAGACAAAGAGAGAAGTGTGTGTGTGATATGTGTGGTTGTATTAGTAAAACATCATATTGTCTTATTGCCTTCGTCCATTCATCTGCTGATTGACACCTAGATTGATTCTATAGGCTGTCTGTTGTGAATAATGCTGTAATAAACATGGATGTGCAGATATTTCTGTTGGGTGTTGACTTAGTGTTGTTGAGGTATGTGCTCAGGAGCAGTATAAGCTGGGTTGTATTGTAATTCCATTTTTAGTTTTATGAGTAGCTGCTGTACTGATTTCTATAGTGGCTGGGCTAAATTTACGTTTTCTCCACTTCCCCCCCCCCACCATCCTCACCAGTGGCTCTGTGATTTGTTTTCTTTATGGGAGCCATTCTCTAATCTCAGTGTAGCTTAAATTTGCATTTCCCTTATATGCTAAAGGTTTTGAACCTTTTCTTTTCATAGATTATCCATTTATACTTCATCTTTTGAAAACAGCCAGGTCATTCATTTCATTAGTCTGTTTATTGACTGGGCTGTTTATTTTTTTAATTGACCTTAGTTGTGAAAGCGTTTTCTGAATTTGAGATGTATAAGTTAAAGTTAGTCAAATGACTATATAACATCTGAAATTAAACCTGTACAGACTGGGGGTTTACTGGGGTTACTTAATCTTGTTCAACAGTAGATAGTAACTTCACATAATACTTCAACCCTAGAGTGACCTCAGTAGTGAGGCACTGTACTATTAGAGTTTAAAGAAAGAAAGTATGGTACAAATTCACTTACAGTACTATATAAAAATGTCCTTGCTTGAAGTTTAAATTGGCTGACTTAGCTCCTTATCTGTTTCTGAATATTTGGTAAGTTCTCTTGGGTTTGCAAAATTTTAATAACAAAATAACTGATGTATCTTCTTTTTTTAGTTCATGTAAAGTATTTTGACATAGCTTTGGATAATTAGAGATGAGAATCTGTTCTCTAGAGACGAGTATTTGAAAAAATCTATTTGTAGCTTTATTTCTGTCTTTTTTGGTACCTAATATCCTTTTAAGATACAGTTATAATTAAATCATTTTAGCATAACATTATTTATGTGATAGAGATATGAATACCCTTATCCAAATTTGCATATGTATAGGCTATAAAAATGATCATTACTGTCCCCTGGCTTAGTACAATTTTAAAATGCTATAATTTATAAACGCAAGCAAATATCTTCCAGATTCTTTATTTCAGATCTATAAATGTTTCAAGGAAAAGAGTCTTAGAATGAAATAAGGCAGATCTTAACTCAGTTGATGATCTTTACTGTAATCTGAGACTCATTGATAAATTCAATGATACCCAAGAATGAAACACTGATTTTGTAATTTTCAGTAACTCAAAACAATTGGGGATTCATAATGTTTTCCTTTAGCTGAAAACCAGAGATAGATACATCAACAGCCTGAAAAAGAAATGCCAGAAGGAATCTGAGCAGAACAAAGAGAAGCAGAGAAGAATTGAGACCTTGGAAAAATACTTGGCAGATCTTCCAACTCTAGATGATGTACAGAGTCAGAGTCTACAGGTAACATGGTCAAACATGCACTTTTGAAATGCTTGCAGTGTTGTAGAGATTTAGCTGCCTAGAAATTACATACTCAGTTACTGCTCCTAGGATACAAGTTGATTCTAAATTGCTAAAAAGTAGATCTCCATGATAGTAAATCTACTGTCTTATATAGTGTTCTATTTTTGAATTCTATTTTTATTTATTGTATGTATGTATGTCTGATGTGTGTATGGAGGTCAGAGGACAACTTGTGGAATTGGTTCTGTACTTCCACCTTTAAGTAGGTTTCAGGTATCAAACTCAGTCATCAGGCTTGCACTGAAAAACACCTTTATTTGCTGAGCCATCTGTTTGACCCCTATCATTGGTTTTAGTTACAGGTTTCTATACCTGTAACTAACTCTATGTCATATATCCTTATTTATTCTAATCACTCTAGCTTTGGTTTTGTCCAGTGTTCTCTGGGATTCAAGGCTCTTCAAGACTTGTCGAGTATCTTTATAAATGTTTATTTTCTTCACTGCTAATCTTTTCTTTTTAGATATTTTTTATTTTTAAATTTAAATTTAAATTAGAAACAAGGTTGCTTCACATGTCAATTCCAGGTCCCTCTCTGCTTCCCTCCTCTCCTCCCGTGCCCTCCCACCAGCCCCCCCCCAATATCCCCTCAATCCCCCAGGGAGGGTGAGGCCCTCCATGGGGGTGTCCATAGTCTGCCATTTCATCCAGGGCAGGGCCTGGACCTTCCCCCAAGAGTTCAGGGTGAGAGTGCATCTCTCATTGTTGGATGGGAGTCCAAAGTCCATTTGTATACCTGGGATAAATACTGATCTACTACCCAAGGCTCAATAGATTACCTAGGCCTCCTCACTGACACCCACATTCAGAGGAATCTTGATTGGTTCCATGCTGGATTCCCAGGCATCAGTCTGGGATTCAAGAACTAACCCTTGTCAGGTCAGCTGTTTCTGGGGGCTAAACCAGCCCAGTCTTAATGCCTTTGGTCATCAGTCCTCCCTCTCTGTCACTGGATTTCTTGAGTTCAGCTCAGTGCTTAGCTGTGGGAGTCTTCCTCGTCTTCCATCAGCCACTGAATGAAGGCTCTGTTTCCCAGACTCTTTGGCCATGGGATTGTAGGCTGGCACTCCCCAGATCTATGTCTAAAATCCATATATGAGAGAGTACATGCCATGTTTCTCTTTTTGTGACTGGGTTACCTCGCTCAGGATGGTTTCTTCTAATGCCATCAATTTGCCTGCAAATTTCAGGATTTTTCTGCTGAATAGTACTCCATTGTGTAAATGTACCACATTTTCTCTATCCACTCTTCAGTTGAGGGGCATCTAGGTTGCTTCCAAGTTCTGGCTATTACAAATAATGCTGCTATGAACATAGTGGAACAGACATCCTTGTTGTATGAATAGGCATCTTTTGGATATATGGCTAAGAGTGGAGTTGCTGGGTCTTGTGGTAGGTTTATTCCCATTTTTCTGCTTCACTGCTAATCTTGTTTTAATTTTTAATACACCTTGATTTGAAACCTCTCTTCACTCCTCTGACTTCTAGTTTTTGTTCTTAATACCTCATTCCATCTCTTTACCAGTTCTGGTGGAGGCTTCTTGAAATGTGAATGCATTCCAGTCATCTCAGTCCTTCCAAGCCATGGGTTCAAACAAAGGAAGAGGCAGTGTTAAGTTCTTTAGATAAAATATAGAGTGACTGTAAGCAATAAGTCTATTTAACCCTGAGAAGAGTAGTAATTTTAATGGTAGTAGATTTCATATTGCATGCAATTCAAGCTGTAACCTTTTTCCTTAGCTGCAAGTTCTTGAAGAAAAAAACAAGAATTTGCAAGAGACTTTGATAGACACAGAGAAGAAGCTTGAGGAGATTAAGAAGCAGTGTCAAGACAAAGAAATGCAGCTATTGTGCCAGAAGAAGAAGGAGAAGGAGCTGGTGACTTCTGTTCAGAGGTGAGGGGACCTTCCATGTCTTCATGCTCTTTAACCTGCCAATATCATTATATAGTATGTTCTATTTAAGAAGTACTTTGTTATTACCTTAGTGTCAACCTTAGAAATATGCTGTATCATTTACTGAAACTGATTGATTCAGTTTTGAAGCACTATATCAACATTTTGCCAAAAATTTTAGGTGAAAATAGCAAAAGAATGAACAAAGAAAGTCAACTTAACAACTAAAGCCTGAAAATACCATTGCAAACTCTTTAGTTGAAGGTTTTATCACTGGTAAAAATTATAAACAGTAGAGTGTAACGTATAAAATACACTATGTCCCTACATAGAGGGTGTGCCAAAGGGGATTGATAGGCTCTGTTTTCATCTCACTGTGAATGACAGGTTTCCGTGTGCTTTCCAGACCCACCTGCATACCTCGCCTCATTTTACGCTTTAAAATCTTTCGGAGGACATGAGAGTTGCAGCAGATAACAGTTAGTATTCAGATGTCAACCCACCAGGAAGTTAATCCTGTCCAGGCAAGGTCTGTAGGACCATCCACTCTGGAAACCGTTGCTCACACTTGCTAAAGCAGCTTGTATCTCCCCCAATACCTGTATTGTAGTGTGTGATCTCATGTGATGTGTATAAGTAATCTCATGATTACGTCCCAGTCTTATGGGCACATATATCTATGGGTGATCAGGAAGGTGATTTTTCATTTGTATAATTTTGATACATAGAAAATATACTAGGACATGCTTCATAACTAGATCTATTTGTCCCACAAGAACTTTAGCTATTTAAAAGCCTGTTTTGTCCCTTTTTCTCAGACTAACGGCACACAATTAACTCATTTTACCTCAGAGCAAGTTCAAACTAGACTAAAGATTTTTGTAAATAGATCCTAAGTTTAAAACTTGAAAGCTATACATAAGATCAGAGTCACAGATGTCCACTTAAGGTTGCTCACAAAGCACCCTAAGAAAAGCATGCCAATTCCTTGCTTGCCAAGTATGCTGACAGAGCTGACTCTGACCTATGTGTCAGAGTGTGCCACTGGGCACTGTTCCTGCCCTGGTCTGATTTCAGTCTTACTCCTGTAACCTTGGAACCTTGTGTTGTCATGGTAAATGGTTCAACTATTTATCAATTACCCTAGGAATGTGCTTTTGACTAATGAGAGGCAACTCTTGTGACTTTTTTTTTTATAGCTTTAAGGTTCCTGTAAGAAAGAGTTTTTAGGCTAGAAGAAAAGAAGCTAGGAGGAATTAGCATAAGGACAGGAAAATTAGAATAGAAGCAGAAGAATAGAGAGACTTGTTTGGAACAGTGTGATGTGAAAGAATTCACTTGCCCTCAGATACCCTAAGAATGGAGTGCCTTTTGCTTCCTGTAGCATCTAATCTGAACCCTGAAGACCCCAAGGTCCTGATTAAAAATTCAAGTCTCCACTAACACAGTGTATAACATTTGTTGGTCTCCTCAACTTTATATTATTTTTATAACTCTTAACCTTATTGTAACAATTATGAATAGATCAAACTATCCAAAAAAGTCAAATAATAAAACAGCAAAAAACTGAGTGCAAGAAATCCAGTCTTCAGAAGTGTATTAGTTAGAAGCTTAGTATATTCATGTTAATACTATTATTTTTTAAATCTAAAATATACTTGGTTTGCTATTTTCTCATAGATTTAAATACAGTGAATGCTCTGATTTCTGTTCTTGATGTCAGTTCCCAAAACTGTAACAGTTTTGAGTTTACATTTTTATACCAGTATTTTTTCTTTCTTGCACTTTAATTTTTAATGAATCCATAATAATGTATACCAACTTTTTTAGTCTTTCAAAAACTTCCTGACCTTCACTAATTTAAACATTTTTTTCTTTATTGACAAAAATAAGAACACTGCCAGTGTTTTGTAGGCTATTGTTATTGAGGAAACTTAAAACTGTGGAGTTTGGAGCCATCATAACAGTTCTAGACGATTACTGAATGCCATTTTGTCCCACTGTTTGCTTTTGCAGATTTGTATCATTTTCAGTGTTCTCTTTCGTTAGGTTTTGTAGAACACTAAGCCACAAATGCTTGATTTGCAAGGATTTGTATAATATGTTCCAGAAAATATTTTCCACTTTAAATTTTATCTTGAGACTGACATAGATATCTTAGATGATTCCTCTTGCTTTTAGGTGAAAGTTTATTTTTAACTCTCCAGTATTTATATTGACAGTGGTGTCACATAATATTGAGGGATAGGAATGGCATTTAAGTTTCCTTGGCTCTAGTTTATTTCTTATATTTTAAAAGAACTTCAGATATATATGTGACTATGAGTTATTACGGTTTATATAATGTCTAATCTTTTATTTTTTAATTTTTAAGAAATTCATAAATTAAAGCTTTTCATTAGAAATGAAAAGATAAAATATATAATAATGCATAAGGTAGTTCCACTTTTCAAAAACTTTCTTGCTTTTGGAAATGTCCTTGATACATAATTCAAATGTATGCATGAAAGAAAACTTGGTGGTGCACAGCAACATAGTAATTCCCTCCTTATTGTTGACTCAAAATTTTAAAGGCTGTGTGTGTTCATGTGGGTGTGCATGTAAGTGTCACCTTCTGGTATCATTCCTCTGGAGCTATTTGCCTTGATGTTTGGGTCAGAAACTTGCCAAGTAAGATAGTCTAGCTAGCTATCCAATGAGATCCGGGGATCTTCCTCTTCCTACCTCCCCAGTGCTGATTGACAAGCATGTTTGCTTTATTAACATGGCCAGGTCCTTGGACTTGTTCAGACTGACTTATCTTCTCAGACAGAAAGATTAATTTTTAAAGTACATTTTATCCTCTTGTAATGCTGTTAAGTACATGGAACACAGTATTTTACATCAAGTTGGCAAAATATAATTGCACTTGTAGTTTGAAAAAGTAAATACTTTTTGCAACAACTAACAATGTATTTCCAGGCAGTACATCATATCAGTACTACATAAATGATCACTAATGCCATTAATTCTTATTCTGCCACCTAGTGTTATCAGTTCTTTTTCCGCAACCTAAGTAGTGTCATTTCATCATTGAAGAATATGGCTTTAGATTGCTATAATACTTGAAAAGAAGAAAAACCAAAATCAGAGATACAAGAGAAGTTTCTTTCAGTCATCTGCAGCTTGTTTGTTTTGAGAAAAGGTCTTGTCATATGTAGTGCTGACTGGCCTGGTACTCACTGTTTAGCCCAAGGTGGCCTAGAACTCTGAGAAATCCTTCTATTTCAGCCTTCTAGGATTCCAATTATACAACTACTATGAATGACATGGTTTGCTTTTACCAATTACTAATCTTCCATTCTGATAGATAACACCTCCTTTCCCTCTATCTTTTATTTTGAGAAAGTTTTTTGCATAAAGTACATTTTGATCATTTCCCTCCCCCATTTTCCCCCCTCTCTCTCTCTCTCCCTCTCTCTCTCTCTCTCTCTCTCTCTCTCTCTCTCTCTCTCTCTCTCTCTCTCTCTCTCTCTCTCTCTCTCTCTCTCTCTCTCTCTCTCTCTCTCACACACACACACACAGACAGACACACACACGGAAATCAAAATAAGCAACGCACCAGTAAGATTAAAAAAAATGCACAAGCAAAGCAAAATAAGACAAAAACTCTAAAGGAATACCACTGAGTTTGTTTTGTGCTGCCAGCTATTCCTAGGCTTGGGGCCTGTCCTTAAGTGGGGTTGACACTGCATGGAAGAAACTGACTTATTTTTAATATGCCAGAAGTGCTTCCTTTGCCATAGACAGCATGACAAACCTAAGTAAGCTGTTGGCCTGGTAGAACCACATTCTTATTAGTGAAGGGAAAGTGATTCTGTTGGTTTGGCAACAACAATCCCTACAATCAAACGTTCACTATGCTCATAGAAAAGGCAAGAACACATATTTGTTGATCTTCCCACCCTACTCTTCTTGGTCAAGTAGTACTCTACTGAACCGTGTTTAAGGTAATGCTCATCTAGGGAAGAAGAAAGGAATGGGGTTAGATTACAGAGTTCAGCTTCATGAGATGGACTTCAATGGGATATAGGGATGCCATACTATAAGCAGCCCCAACTTCAGTTTGTCATTTCTAAAATGATAACCAGCCTCTATCTAGTTATGGGCTCTTCTTACTTATGTAAAATACATAGCTATTTATATATTTTCTGTGAATCTTAATTGTTTGATTAAAAAGGCTTCTTCATGAAATTGCTTTTTCTAAACAACAGCTTACAACAAAAAGTAGAAAAATGCCTTGAAGATGGAATCCGCCTTCCCATGTTAGATGCAAAGCAGCTTCAAAGTGAAAATGATAATCTCAGAGAGCAGAATGCAGCTGCTAGTAAGGTTAGTGTACATACACTCTGGAGATCAGAGGTCACATCTGTCCTGTGGAGCATGTGTATCTTTAGAGCTTTGTAATTTTATAAATTTATATATCTTTAGTTTATAATTTTAGTGATATTTAATAGTTTATAAAATATTTAGCTTACTTTGATTTAGAAAGAAGATAGCAATTTAATATATTATAAATTATTTAAACTTAAATAAAAGCCTTATAGATACTAAGGAAAATGTTTACAGTTTTACTTAGGGGTGGTCTATGTCATCTTGTAATTTACAGAATATTTACGAATGCTTTTGTAAATAAGATGTTTAAAAATAAACTTTTCTCTTTAATTTTCTTGAAGTATTGATGCTTTTTTAAAGTAATGGAAAAGATTCAGACTAATTTATTTGCTGTGTTTTAGATAATAGAGAGCCAGCAGGATGAAATTAACAGAATGATTTTAGAAATTCAGGTAAGGAATATTTTGTATGCATTTTAGTGTCTATATCACCTAAAAGTATTAAAATGTATGTGTAGCTATATGAAAATATAATATTAATAGTACCTGAGATAAAGTTATAAATTAATATTAATCTGAGCACAATTCATAGTGTACATGTATACAATTGTGAAAGACCAAGATTTACTAATAAAATAAAATTCTGCCTGGTAAACCACTTCTCCAAAGGGATGGTAAGATTGTTTCCTCTTCTTTGTCGGTCTCTTCCATAATTGATTGTAGTCTCTTCCAGGTGTGGAGAATGCATTTGATTCAGGTTGTCAGAGACCTAATAACAAGAGAGGGTGGAATGTTGTTAGTCTACTTATTAACATTTAATTTTCATATACTAGTTCCATCTGGAAACATATTTCCAACCAACTCTACCTGTTTTATGTTCTTTTCCTCCATCGAATTTTCTTTAGAAGTCTGTAATGTTCTCACCAGCATTCCATGGTACTGCCCAATATTGAGATCTCCAAGATCACTCTGTCTTTCTTGTTGTTTTCTGATTTTGCTTCCCATACTGCCATTTTGCTATAATGCTATAGGTGATGCTCACCAGTTACAGGAATAATGTAGTGTCTGTCACTTGTGGAGTACTTCTATTATGTATCAGTTAAACAATCAGTTCTAAGTATGGCATCCCCACAATCTGTTTTTATAGTTCCTCCCTACCTATGTATCCTTTGAGTAAAAATCAAAGCCCCCTTAGTGCCTGTGTCTGTCAAAACCTCCTCAGCTGTGAAGACTGTACAGCACATTGTCTCATACAGCATGGAAACATGTTCCCAGCCTTTAGGTGAAATTGACAGTGCTTCTTTTATTTTCCCTCTTCTTCTAATGGCGCTGTTGCTCTTTCTGTGTTACCAAATGATAGCATGCCACGTTTATGTTTTTACGTTTTACTGAGTTTCTTGAGGATGATGCTCTGGTAGCTCAGCTGGGGAGTTAGAACTAACTAAAACCCTGGACACATAATGCATACTTGAAAAGTTTGGAAGCTAGTAGGTCTTTAATTCCTTTATTCATTTGCCAGATACTTATGAAGCCTTTGTCTATATGGTGGACACAGTTCTTGAATTTCATTAGTGAGCAAAGCAAGTCTCCAGTGGGGTTGGAAAAAATGGAAATACATATCAAGTCCTATTTTTTTCTGTTATAAAAGTTCTAATTAAAAACATAAGTAGGTTACAGGGCAGTGACAGGACTCCACATGAAAGGCTGACCATGGCAGTTTTGTAAAGGAGGTAATTTTTGAGCAGGGACTTCAATGAAGATAGCTAGGGGGAAGCATAGTGCATGCTGGGGAAAGGAAGCAACAGATGCCCTAAGTTGTGTGATACGCTGTACCGCCAGCAGGGAGGCTGCCCTCCTAGAGAGGGGGACTGAGGCAGTGAGGTGAGGTGAAGGTGATGGAAGAAAGTAGCCTGGACAAGATGATCCAATGTTTACATTTTACTCTATATAGGACAGAAAACCACTGAACAGACTTTACTGAAGAATATTTTAGAATCATACATCCTCATGCTAGCAATACTTTGAGACCTTCTTTGGAAGTTCTAGCAGGGAACACAGTTACTCATATACCCTAGGGGAAACAAAGATCCTCTATGAGAAAGGTCATCCTTTTTGATAGGATATGTAGCTTTTGGGAAGGACCCACATGGTCAGTAAGGAAGGGAAGAGGCCCACTCCTAGATAGTGTTATGAGTGAATGTACTCTGGTAGTCATTGCATAACCATTGTCACAGCCTTATCACCCTCATTGACCGTAGAGTCAGCAGCTCACATGTCAGAATTAAATGTATTCTCATGTTGTCTGTTGCCTGTGTCAAGAATTCACTGATGGGTTGATTCTCCAGACAAAGCTTCTATTGTCCTACAAGTTAGAACCATAGAACTATTAGGTGCTTCCAAAAAGTGGGTCTAACGAAGTTTTGTTATTTTACAACAATAAATGCATGGATTTTTAAAAATGTTTTATTTTTTTTAATTATTTGTATGTAGGCTTGTGTACATTAATACAAAGGCCTTTTAGAGGTCAAAAGGTATCAGGTCCCCTGTAGCTGAAGTTAAAGATGATTGTAAGCCACATGAAATGGGTGCTGGGAACTGAACTCGGGTGTTCTTCAAAAGCAGTCATCACTCTTTTGAACCATGTCAGGAGCCCCTAACACATGAAAAAAACAATACAAAGACTCAATGTTACAGAGATCTGCCTGTCTCTGCCTCCCAAGTACTGGGATTAAAGGCAGGTGCCACCAGACCTGGCATGAAGATGCTATTTAAATACAGCTGTCATCTGCCATTTCATACCTGGTATAGGTCATTGGCAAATGTGGTTCAGTTTTAGAAGGGGACAGAGCTGATCTTGGACTAGTAATAATACTGCAGCTGTTAAATACAGAAAGAGCAAGGCTTCATATAAAAGCAGATATTAAATTGGAAACTGAGTCCTATATGAAACTGAACCCTGTAAGGTCCAGGTTTCTATACAGTTCGGTAAGCTGTCAAGATGGCATTGTTAACTGGGATGAATACCTTGATGATTAATTGATTGTGTAGAAATGTTTCTTTTCTTTATACCCAGAGACCAGGAAAGGTAAACCGGCTGCCCTTCAGGCTTTTCTTCTGTCCACTTACGAACTTTCTCCCATCATTTCTGTAAATGTTACGGTTACAGTCAGAATATGATTGATTTCCTCACTGTTAGGAGCATTTCACCCTGATCAGCTTACTTCTAATTATCTGTTACCATTGCATTTTGTATTTGTAGTCTTGACAAAGGAAGTATAGACTTTAAAAGTTTCAACCTCATTTACTGGAAAGAATAAAATATTAAAATGTTTCCATAATGGAAGCAAGTATACCATTAAATGACCTTTCTGAATTGGCATCTGTCAATGAATGCTTATTATAACCACAAAAGATAAAATTACTTTTAGATGTTGTTAAGAATGCCTTTAATCCCAGCCCTTGGGAGGCAGAGGCAAGTAGATCTCTGTGAGTTTGAGGTCAACCTGATCTACAGAGCAAGTTCGAGGACCCTAAGCTAGGGCTGTTACAGAGAAATCCTGTCTTAGGGGAAAAAAAATGGGAAAAAGAAAAAAGAATTCTTACTCTTATAGGCATGACTGGGACTTCCATTCTCAAAACTCTTGACAGTTTGTCCTATTTATAACATGTCAAGAGAAGATATTTATACAGTCTTAGAACATTCTATCCTAATGTTTACCAGTATCTTGTAAAGTTCAGTTAGTGGCTTTTTTCAGTAGAAATGAATCATAAGCCAGTAGGATTCCTTATAGGTGGAATATGAATTCTTTAACCTAAATAATTGAATTTTCCCATTGTAATATGGTTTTTATTTCCTACCTTTTTATATTAATTTCATAATGTGAAATTCTTTCTAAGCTTAATTCTTAAAATATGCTTATGAAATTCTTCATGTCATATGACAAACTAAAACTACCTTATCAATTTTTTGGTCTTTTTTTTTTAATTTAAATTAGAAACAAGGTTGCTTCCCATGTCAATCCCAGCTCCCTTTCCCTCCCCTCCTTCCATACTCTCCCACCAACACCCCTATCCCCTCCCCCAACCCCACTCCTTTCCCCAGGGAGGGGGAGGCCCTCCATGGGGGTGTCCATAGTCTGTCATTTCATCCAGGGCAGGGCCTAGGCTCTCCCCCAAGACTCCAGGCTGAGAGTGCATCTCTCATTGTGGGATGGGCACCCAAAGTCCATTTGGATGCCAGAGATAAATACTGATCTTCTACCCAAGGCCCCATAGATTTCCTAGGCCTCCTCACTGACATCCACATTCAGGGGTCAGGATCAATCCCATACTGGATTCCCAGACATCAGTCTGGGGTTCAAGAGCTAACCCTTGTCAGGTCAGCTGTCTCTGTGGGTTAAACCAGCCCAGTCTTATTGCCTTTGGTCATCAGTCCTCCCTCTCTGTCACTGGGTTCCTTGAGTTCAGCTCAGTGTTTAGCTGTGTGTGTCTGCCTCTGCTTCCATCAGTTATTTGTTGAAGGTTCTGTTTCCCAGACTCTCTGGCAGTGAGACTGTAGGCTGGCACTCCCCTGATCCACATCTAAAATCCATATGTGAGTAAGTTCATACCATGTTTGTCTTTTTGTGACTGGGTTACCTCACTCAGGATGGTTTCTTCTAGTTCCATCCATTTGCCTGCAAATTTCAAGATTCCATTGTTTTTTTTTTTTTCGATGAATAGTACTCCACTGTGAAAATATACAACATTTTCTCTATCCACTAACATCTGATCTTCGACAAAGAAGCTAAAAATATACAATGGAAAAAAGATAGCATCTTCAACAAATGGTGCTGGCATAACTGGATGCTGGCATGTAGAAGAATGCAGATCGATCCATGTCTATCACCATGCACAAAACTTAAGTCCAGATGGATCAAAGACCTCAACATAAATCCAGCCACACTGAACCTCTTAGAAGAGAAAGTGGGAGGTACCCTTGAATGAATTGGTACAGGAGACCTCTTTGTGAACATAGCACCAGTAGCACAGACACTGAGGTTAACAATACATGGGACCTCCTGAAACTGAGAAGCTTCTGTAAGGCAAAGGACACAGTCAACAAGACAAAATGGGAAAAGATACTCACTAACCCCACATCTGACAGAGGTCTGATCTCTAAAATTTACAAAGAACTCAAGAAGCAAGTCTCCAAAACACCAAAGGATCCAATTAAAAAGTGGGCTACAGAACTAAATAGGGAATTCTCAGTAGAGGAGCCTAAAATGGCTGAGAGACACTTAAGTGCTCAATATCCCTAGCCATCAGGGAAATGCAAATCAAAACAACTCTAAGATACCATCTTACTCCTGCCAGAATGGCTAAAATCAAAAACACCAATGACAGTTTATGTTGGAGGGGTTGTGGAGAAAGGGGAACACTCCTCCACTGCTGGTGCGAGTGCCAACATGTAC